CCCGGGGCGGCGGGAGCGGGACGCTGGAGACGGGCTGCTGCGCCCGCGCCGGGGCGTTCCCGGCCGGGAAGGTCAGTGGCAAACGTGCAGGCTGGGGCTCTAGACGCCACCCCCCTTCTCGACCGCCCGCGGGGCCCTGCGCTCGGGCTTCGCCGGCCGTCCCGCTGGGACCGTCGGAAAGTCTGAACCCTGCGCTCGTTCGGGCGGCTCCCCCGGTTCGTCGTTCACCGCAGCGAAGTGGGGCCGAGCAGAGTCCATGCGTTTTCCACCGCGGTTTGCTGGCGGCCCCTATCTGCCAGCCACGCGGGCACGCGGGGCGCAGGACGGAGTCCTGCTTCTCACTTACATTTGAGTGAGGGGCGGGGATGGGGGATGGGCACTGACAAGGAAGAAGTGGTGATTTTGTTTATATTCTGTACTTGCCCCAGTGTTCTCCTCGAGGCCTGGACAGAACTGGGTCGGTGTGCGCTGTGAATGCCTTTCCCACCACCTTGCTCGCGGTGAGAAAGGTCCACTCTGCAGCGAATCTCCCTTGAATTACACCACAGACGGCGGGTGGCTGGCGCGGGGCGAGAGGTTGAGCTCCAGCACCACTTAATGCTGAGTTAATGTGAACCTGGAGGACTGGAGCAATAACGTGGGTTTGCTCTTCCTACTTCATTAGCCTCTGGGCTCACACCTCACCAAGTGGCCCAGTTTTAACCTCAGATTATGAAGCTTCTGGCTCCCACTCTCCTTTTGGAGCGCAGTAATTTACTTGGTGCTTGGGAGTGAGAAGACTGAGAACTGCAGGTATGAGCTTGCCTGGTGCTTATACCCATCAACCTCGACCGAGTGCTCTTTGTTGCCTGGTTTTCTCTTTTTTCTTTTAAGCATCCCTCTTCCCGTTCCTCACCACCCTCCTCCGGAGGAATGAGAAAAACTCTTCCTTTGACCTCCTTTAGCTTCCTAGTTCTAACCTAGTTCCCCCACCCACATTATTTCTTCCACGGCTTTCCTTTCCTCCACCTCCTCTTCAAGCCTTGCCCTCTCTCTTTCCCCACCATTGTGCTCCCATCAGTGTTATCTTCCTGGATAAACTCAAGTATGTTTTTCTACCTCCAGAGCCTCATTTCCAGAAGAATGCAGCCACTTCTTCTCCATGTTCCTAATGCAAGTTCCATGGTACCATGTTATGCATCCACACTTTGCCAAGGGCTTACCAGGTCCCAGATGCTGCAGCAGGTGGTGGGGGTACAAAAATGGGTTCAAAGTCTAGTTGGGGAGGCACTCAGCACAGGCCTCCAGTAATGTGACCAATGCTATCGTTGCAGTCTTGAACTCTACCTGTGGAGTCAAGAAAGGCTAACTGAGAGGGAACATTTGACCTAGGACTTGATATTTCTTACGAGTTCAGGCTCTTTTGTCTCTCTGGATATTCTCAAATGTCCCATCCTTGATACCGTCAACCCCACTCTGCACTCTTCATGTCACAGCCGCTCTTAGCCTCCATTGCTTCTGTTGTCACCTGTCCAAGAATCGCTCTTAGTCTCTAATTCAGACAAAGCGTCTATAACCAGAGCCTGTCCTACAAGTGGAAAAGTTTGGAATGCACCGACTCAGAGGCTCACTGGAGAGGAAGTTCATAGCCACCACCTTTAGGAGGCTGCAGTGATCCAGGCTGGCGTAGGTGGTGGCTCAGAGATGTGGTAGAATGCAGGTGTGAGAAGTAGTTGGTTCTGGTTATACACTGAGTGGCCAGATTATTATGACCACCTGACGTTTGTAGGCAAATTAGCCGTACACTGCATCGTATGGGATATGGAAGCTAAAGGCCTGTTCGAACACCTTTGCTGTCTGCAGTTACCAAGATAAAATGTCTCCAATTCGCACAGGAACACAAGGATTGGACAGTCAAGCATTGGAAAAAAGTCATGTGATCTGATGAATCACGTTTCCAGTTGCATCATGCAGATGGCAGAGTGAGAATTTGGCGGAAACAGCATGAAAGCATGCACCCCACATGCATGAGTACAACCCTTCAAGCTGGTGGGGCAGTGTTATGGTTTGGGGCATGTTTTCCTGGCATGATTTGGGCCCTTTAATTCGTGTGGAACAACGTCTGAATAGCACAACATACCTAAGTATCATTGCTGATCAGGTTCATCCTATCATGTTGATGGCGTATCCCAATGGAGATGGCTTCTTCCAAGACAATGCGCCATGCCACAGTGCTCGTTTTGTGCAGGAGTGCTTTCAAGAACATGAGGGAGACTTTACCTTGCTTAGGTGGCCCCCACAATCACCAGATCTCAATCCAATTGAGCATTTGTGGGACGAAGTTAAAGGAGCCATCAGGCAGCTGGTTCCACAACCATCAAATCTCACAGAACTGGACAGTGCTATTCATCAGGCATGGTGTCAGATTCCTCCCATCACCGTTCAACATCTCATGGAGTCAATGCCAAGAAGAATCACTGCAGTATTGAAGGCAAACGGTGGCCCAACGAAGTATTGATGGGGTGGTCATAATAATCTGGCCACTCACGTTCAAATATATCCCACGTTCAAAGGCTATTAAATCATGCTGTTTACCCATATCTTCAGAAAAATCACTTCTGTCGTGGTAAACAACCTGCTTCCCTATTTATAATGGTCTGGCCCTCTAGCAACTTCAGCGTGAAATTATAGCTAATTTGCCTACAAACGTCAGGTGGTCATAATAATCTGGCCACTCAGTGTATTCTGAAGGTAGGTGAGGGAGTAGTTTTCTGTTGTTGCCGTTGTTTAGTTTTTTGTTTTGGAAGGAATGGATGGAAGTCAGGAATTTGTTTTTAAACATGTTGAGTTTGAGATATCCTTTAGACATCCAAGTGGAAATGTCAAACAGGCAGTTGGACATACAAGTCTGTAGTTGGAGGACATGTCCAGGTTGAAGATAGAAATGTGGGGGTCATCAGTGCACAGTGTCACTAAAGCCATGAGACTGTAGAGATCAACTAGGGAGTGAGGCTAACAAAGATGAGAGATTTCGTCTGAGCTCTGGGGCTCAGTTTTATTAAAATTAAGTTAGAAAAAAAAAAGGGAATATTTGTATAGAGCAGGGGTGGGGAACTTTTTTTCTGCCAAGGGCCATTGGGATATTTATTTATTTAATTTATCTTTATTGTTGAAAGTATTACAGATGTCCCCTTTATTTGTTTTCCCCATCGACCCCCCTCCTCCCCTCAACCGCCTCTTCCAAGCCTTCACCACACCATTGTCTGTGTCCATGGGCTATGCATATATGCATATAAATTCCCTGGTTAATCTCTCCTCCCCCACCCTCATCTTCCCTCTAATATTCACCAGTCTGTTCCATGGTTCTATGTCTCTAGATCTATTTTGTTCATTAGATTCCACCTATGAGTGAGATCACGTGATACTTATCTTTCTCTGACTGCCTTATTTTGCTTAGCATAATACATTTGGATATTTATAATACCATTTTTGGGCCATACAAAAGTATCAACTTGAAAATTAGCCTGCTATGTTTGATCAAACATTTGATTAACTCACCCCTAATGCCTTGGCAGGGCCAGATAAAATGATTTTGTGGACGTTATATGGCCTGCAGGCCAGATATTCCTCACCCCTGGTAGAGAGTTTGGTGTGTTGTAAACACTCAGTGATGGTAGCTTTAATTTTCACTATTCTGTTCCAAGTCTTTAGCCTCAGCTATTCCCCAAATGTGATATGTTGTTATAACCTATTTTCTTTCCATCCTTGAACACTCAGCTCAAGGATGTTGCTTGGAAATCTTCCCATTATCAATCCTTCTTCCACACTGATCTTCCCCCAATTTGAGATGACAACAGAAATGCATTCCCAATTTGTGACTTGCTTTGCACATGTTGTGACCTGGTAATCCATTTCAGATGGAATGTTTTGTTTCCAGAGTTGTTCTTGATGGAAAGGATTGTGTTTCCTAAAGTGATGCCTAGTCAATGCTTCCTCCTGAAAAATGCTAACACTCTTGTGTAACAAATAGAAGAATCTACTTTAGTCTATTATGCATGACTTTAAATGTTTTTGGTTTAAAAAATATAAGGAAGGAGTGAGTTTATTCCTATTTTTAAAATATTATCTTTTTAGCCTCCTAAGGAAAAATTCTCCCTGGATTTCCTTCTCCCTGGCTATTTAGTTATTTATTTACTTATTTTCAGGGTATACATTCTAATTTTCCCAAATTCCTAGATAGTGGAAATCTTGACTTTGTTTCATTTTTCCTTTTTTTTAAAAGTTGGATTAAAATGTTCCTCAAAACTGGAAAGACCAGTTAATTGATCTGTTCTCCCACTTCTGGGAACAGAGCTCAATATCCCTTATCTTCCTGGGGGACAAATCTTGTTCCGCCTTAGCCTACCATCAAGATGTGCTGAAATATAAGCTGAAGGGACCATTAAATAATTTATAAAGTTAAAGTTTGGAAGTTACATGTTGAACTCCTTGGATCTTATTTTACTTAATTTTTGTTTGTTGAGAATCAACAGTGCTATTTAGGTTCTTGGGTACTTGCCATAGGCACCTACCAGATTGGTTGGTGAAGGAGAAAAAGTTCCATCTATTTTGAGGATGGCTTTCTGGATGGATGAAAACCTGCATGAAATAATTGGTTTGCAGAGTGTTTCTTGTCAACATGCTTCCTTTGTTAGAGGAACAAAAATTCAGTGATTATATTGCCACCTTGATCATAGCTTATGCTTCTCTTAAAGAAAACAAGCCTTATAAAAAAGAGAAGTGTAGTCCTCACTTCATCCCTTCTTTCAGCAAGCCATGCAAGAACTAGTTCTACATATTAAATCCTCTTTCACATCAGGGGTTCTGATCTTAGAGCACTGTGAACTGAGGGCTCATAATAATGATGGATAAATGCTGCCCTTTTTGCTTAGGAACCCATACATTTTTGTATAGTACAGAGGCTTTAAGCATTCCACCAGGGCTTTTGGTCTCCTAATTCTGCATACTATGCATGCATCAAAGTATCACTGTAATTCTTTTTCTTTCTTTCCCTTCTCTCTGTTTTTCTGTCTGTGTCTCTTTCTGATCTTTT